TGCTGAACCCAACCCCCTGCTAGCCACCTCCCCCCACCAATCCTGACTTACCTGATTTGGGCAGCCATTTTGAACTGATTTAACTCCCCCCTAATCCCCCAAATGTCTGTACTTAGCTTAAGACAGTGCAACTATTTTTGCTAAGCTAAAAGGAGATTCAAACTTGCACGAATAAAACTTTTACTGCACTTACAAATAGGGAGAAAGAACCCAGGTAGCAGGTGCTGGAGGGGCCAAGCAAGCTGCACACGACTGTTTCTACCCATGGTCCTTCAGAGGAGATCAACAAGACAACCTGGCTCTCTCGCATGCAGGAGGCTGGGTTTAGTGCACCTCCCCTGCCCACTTCTACCTGTTGCAGCATCCTACTTCAGGAAACTTTAAAGAACTCCCAACCTCCCCCAATCAACTAAGATTCATTCCTCCCTCATGCAACCATTCCTTTACCCTTGGTGCAGTACTGGACTACAAAATGACAGTTCTCTTCTCCCTTTACAGTTGCCTTCCAAAATACCTAGGCTTGGCAGGATTCAATTTTTATCAGTAAACACTGATAAATATTGATTTCACCTCACACTCACAAACCAGCGAAAAAAATCTCTCCATTGTTAATAGTTCAAAATTTACAGAAAGAGGATGCAAGACAAATGATGATTGATGATGACAGGGGGAGCAGTCTTACTGAACCGTGCTGACTGTAGTTTGTACTGCTACTCTCAGAAACCCCAGGGGCCTGGGAACAAAGGAAGAGGAAGAGACAAAGTGGACGAGGGAGCTATGGGAGAGCAGAGCTCGGAGTGGTGGCGGCTCTGCCACCCAGCTGGCAGCTGTCCTGTAGTAGTTGCGTTTGTCACAGCAGGCAGCTAAACTGCATTATAATAATGATAATATACTATCATTAATAAATTGTCTGTCCCCATGCTCCTAATTTCCCACAATCCTGAAAATTTAAATTGATAAAAAATAAAAATAAGTGCTTAGAAATACAAATCAAATTCTGCCAAGCCTAAAAATAGTGAATAGGAAGCTATCATTACAAAATACTAAGCAAGACCCTGCACACAGTCCCAAAGTAAAAGTAGATAATTAAGGAGCAAACTGGATCTACATTTGATAAGTAGCATATCTGAATTATTTACAGCAGGATTCTACAAGTTTTTAAAGTGTGTGTGGGGGGAGAAGAGGGTCAAAAATTCAATGTCTTCATCATATCTAGTAATTCACAACAGCTAAAAAGTTTTTTTTTGGACTTTCATGTCTCATCTATCCTTAAAGAGTTCAATATAATACTTACATTTCACCGAAAAAATTATTGTGTCAGATTCGGTTTGACCTACTAACCATTTTTCCTCAAAAAAAGCTATCAGCTGGGCAATGATGAATGCTGCATGTTTTAGTAATCCGTCCTCTGACAAAGCAAGTCAAATCTCAGACTGGCTACATTTCTACAGATGCTCCTTTGCTTCCGATTCACAAGAGCTGAGAGAATTTAAATTAGGTGAGGCAACCTTTAAAAGCCTGGAATTTCGAGACTGGTCAAGCAGAAGTTCTCCTGATGGGGCAGAAGTCCTGGCCGGACAGTCCTCCCATTCTTGGGAAGAGAATTTAAGGCCATGTCCTGAAAGCAAACTGGCATCCTCAACCAGGCAGCACTGCTCCAAGTGGACTGGCTCTTCAGCCGATGCAGCTGCTTCTGCAACCTACTGCAGGTGGACTCATTTAGCTCTGCTGTTTCAGTGGCAATTAGCCTACTCATGTGCTAAAATCAGCCAGCCCCCAGTGCTTCACAGAAGTGGTCACACAACTTCTGGTTCAAAAGACAGCCTGTGCAGGGCAGTGCAGCCTACTTGGGCTTCCAGACATGGGCTAAATGACTTAATTCAGAAGGGGAGACTTATGTGCTGCTTTAATCACCCAATTCAAATTAGGCCCAGTTTCGCAATACGAGGAATAGGCAGAGTGAGGCACTTAAGGAAGGGATTTACAGGAACTAGTGTCCTTAGTGGATTGTTTCCCAAGGTTGCCAATAGTAAAGTCCAAGGAGGCAGGCAGGACCAACAACCCACCCCTCAGAGAATTAGGCACCAACTCTGGGCATAAGAGAGCCACCTCCCAGGATCATAGCTGTGAACCCCTCTGGGAGTTACAGGTTTTCACCATCTTCCTTGCACAAAGCCTGCCTTAATATCAATTTACCTAATGATTACAACAATCCCCAGGGATATGGGCACTTTTAAATCCCCCTGTTCTGTTATTTAAAACTACAATTTAAATGCATATGACCCACTTCCTTCCAGAGAGACTGCCCTAACTGCTGGATATCAACTTGTTCCAAGATGGGAAGGTGAAAAAAAGGACTCTGTAACCTAGTCACTGGCAGGAATTCAGTGGCTGTGCACAAGTCCACCAGAAAAAACAAACTAGGTACTTGCAGGACTAGACCACAAGTGAACAGGGATTTTGTGAGTGCTTGTAGTACCTACGCTGGTGAATACCCTTTGTCAATCTAGCACAGAGTGCTTTTGTAAGATGGGGCCAGATAAAGGAATAGAAGCGCAATGTAAAGGTCTGTCATCCCTGACACGCTACTCGTTGAAGTAGATTCTCATGAGAAACATGCACAGCCCATAAAATCCTTTTGTAATGGACTTGGCAAACAATGTCATTTATTAAGCAGATGTTTGTCTTTTAAATAAAAAGGAACACATTGAACTAACAACTCAAATAGATCATTAATCTATATATCCCCCTGACATCCCATAGGCAGAGGGCCCGCAAGATAGGACTCAAAGCTGCAAGAGTCACTATTTAAAAAAAGGAGATGAAGGGAAATAATTTCACAATGCAAATTCTAGGTATGTAAGTAGACACCGATGTGGTATGTGTCCAATCTCAATGCAGGTACATACTAAATAACTGGCTCTGCCACTAATAACTGTAACTAAGGGAGTTTTAATGGTGAAAATGTATTAGCTTTCTTAGTTATTCTGACTTTCTTCCAATGGCTTACTTACACACAAATGTTATACTTGTATTAATGCCTTATAATGCTGAGTAAGAGAATAAATTAATAAGCAATTAAAAAGTGAAGTCCTTGGATTTTTGAAGCAGACTGCTGTAATTAAAATCTCTGATTAGTATTTGAGCTATTAAAAAACCCCATATAGAGCTATTTAAAAAAAAAAAATCTGCAAGACAGCTTGAAAAATTGTTGAAAAATGCATCTCTGTCGAGACTAATTTAATATCATAAAGTAGTGGGGCCAACCTTTTTGGCAGGTGTGTCATCATAAATTAGCCCTGCACCACATTAATCCCTTTCTTTTACTTAATAATCTGCTCATCTTTCTACTCCCTGCCCTATCCTCCCTGACCAAGCTGCTGCTGTGCTTCCTTCCCTACCTGTACTCTCCCTAATCTGCCACATGCCACACACAAACTGCTTGTGCCCCTTACGGCACCCATGCCACAGGTTGGCCACCCGTCATAAAGCATCTCAAATTTAGCAGCAGAAGAATTACAGCTACTCAGCGCCTCTATTATTTGTACATGTACACAACGCCAAGGAGAAAATTATGAAACTTCTTTGCTTACATTTTTATTTTTGTCGTTTGTTCCTGGGGTGCTGGATGAGGGCGGTTGGTTGGGGTTTTTTTAAGTAACGGATCTAAGCATTCCCTGATGGACAGTAAGTCTTGGATTTTTATAGGAGTAACAGTTTGGGTAGGGAGCACAAATTCTAGACTGACAAACTTTGTTTCTATGTTCATGAGTTTTAAAAAGTCAAATTCAAGCTTCCTATTTATTTATACCTAGGAAGAAGTAAAAGCAAAATCCTTGTGACTTAGGTGCATCTGATAAGCAGACCTTAAAATCACAGCATGAGGAAAAGTATTTCTTATACAGATAAGGTGTCTCAGTGAGGAATGGGGGATGTTCTGCCATATGTAACAAGATACATAGGAAGTACTGACAAACAGAAGGACAGAGAAGTTATGCTTGTGCCAGCCTGATGACCCTGCTCAGATCTAGTAAATACACACCATTGCATACTCACTCAACCAAAAAGGTACGGGTCAGCAGGGGCCTGGCACAATACCATTCCCTTCATTCATCAGAATTCACTGTGTTGCATTTTGAATATTATCTAACTGCTGTTTAACTACGGCAATGCTAGTTGTTGAAAGGGTCTGAAGATTAACTACCCCACTCCCAATGACTTCCATGGAAATTCTGCATACAGACCAGGAGCCAAAATTTAATCTTTGGCCTATTAGGCTGGATCCAGATGCATAGGCATGTGTGGTTTGTGGCACCACAAACCACAAGCGTTGCATGTTAAACCATGTGCAGCACTGCTAATTGGCAGAACTGGGGCAAAATATGCTACTGGGATTTCCTGGTAGAAAATTAAAAAAACCTGAGAAAAAGAGCAGCGCAAAGCACACCAAAGTCCTGTGTGCCGGGACAAACATGAGGACGGGGGAGCAGGCAGCCCAGCCCCGTCTCTACGAGCTGGTTGGCGCAAAGGGTACCTCAGCCTGGGGGGCTGCCTAGCTCCACGCTGAGGCACCCTGTGCCCCAGCCAGCCTCCACTGTAGCACATGGGCCAGCAGGACAATGTGTCCCGCTGCAAACTGCATGAGCAGGGGTGTGCACTGCTCTTAGTGCTGCTGCAAACACGTGTCCCTGCTCATGAGGACACAGCTTTAGAGGTTAATTTGCTATTCAAAACTGACTTTATAGCCTAAACAGTACTTAACATAAACATTATGCTGCTAAGATAGTCACTAGGCTCAGTCTTGTTACCAACCTCAATTCCTCCCTCTCAATCTCAGCTCAGGCTATTAAATATCCGTTGTTGTTTCTTTCAGATACTACGCAAAATAAATCACTTCTTGTCAACACCTACTGGAAAATCCAGGGTTCTCCTTTTTGGACCACTGTAACTTCCACCTTGTTTTCCTTAGCACCACTCCCCACACTTAAGTTGGATTCATCAATTCTCACTCTGCCGGCCTGACCACAGCACTTCCTTACAAGTTTCTTCACTCAGCCTGTTTGAAAGCTCTGTTTTGAGGGCTCAGCTCTACTCCTGCCTAGAGCTGTATCACTGGTCACCAGCCCCTCTCCTGTCAAAACCTGCAGTTTACCCATCTGCACTGTGTAGTCTTCCTTTTTCTTCCCAAACAAGCACTTCCCATACTGACTTTCTCCTTGCAAGATCTTTTGATAGCATGCATCTTTTAATCCTCCTCCAAATCAAACATTTCTTGCTACTCAGTTATTCTGCAATCTGTGATCCTCCGATTCCTTTAAACAATAAATAAAAAATTCAGAAAGACCTGTTCTCATAGACCGTATCTGACACGTTAACTACATCAACCTACTCTTGCAGGGTTTTTGGTTGTAGCCGTGTTGGTCTAAGCACATAAGCAGGCAAGGTTCTTTGGGTAGATGCAATATGTTTTATTAGACCCAATGGGTAGCTGGAACAAAGTTCTTTGCAAGCTTTCAGGCACAAGTACTCTTCTTCAGGCATAGGGTGTCTGCTGTTGTTCTGAGATCTCCAATTCTCAGCGTACATTTCTCCAATTTTTTCACTGCCTTTGTCTGCTTTCTTCTCTGGCATAGTATTTTATAATCAACTTAGACTGTAAATGCTTTCAGGCACGGACCGAGTCAAGACCACAAGTTAAATATCAGGCAATCTGATAATGACACAGGTAGCAAAAATTTTGTATCACCGCCACCATACTTGGTTTAAGTTTTCAAAGACTTAAATTTGCAATTTCAAAAGGCACCATTATTACAACACCACACTATTTAGAACCGTGTTAGGGATTACCAGTTTTCCATTAGAATGTAAATGGGAAAATGCCATTTATGTTGATAATGTCAACTACAAAAAATATTAACATTTCACAATGTTTTACTTACAAACATAAGTACTTCCAAACCAATATAAAAACTGGACCTCCAATTTAACTTGGCTTTTGATGAAAACAAAGTTTAAACTAAAGCTGTTTTATTTTCAGATTGCTTTATTTCTTACTGATTTAACATCAGCTCATCGGATACAGTCGATTTCCACATACGGAATTGAAAGTTGTATAATATTTAAGAGAACTCAATCAAAACAATGTATAGCCAGAAATCAGATGTAAATGAATGTTGTATCATAGGTAAAGACAAAGAAATAGTTCAAACACAGAGTAAAGATAATGATGACTAAATGTTGTGGAAATTTTGTTTTTGTAATTTTCAAGAGACCAAATTTTAAGATGAATACTCACCAATTCTTTCCTAAGTTGAATAAAAAACTGTTTGCACTTAAAAGAAATTTTTACAATCTTCAACCTAAATGAAAAATAAAACCAGAATATTTTAAACACTTAGTATACAGATTCATATTAAATATAGTACACAAACTAGTTCTTTTTTTGAGGGAACTAATTTAATCTTCATTACTATAAGATTTCATTTGACAAAAATTAACTGAAAAAAATTAACAGTTACATATAACAGCTCGCACAGTTTGAGATTTGTTAACCATATATTAAAATTCCCTAAAAATTAAATATCTTGCACCTTGCTTTACTGTGCAGGCTAGCAAACATAAAAGTTTCTCTGGTATTTCTAAACTAAAAGGCAGTCACTAGTTTTTCACCAGTGTTGACCCTGAAAGAAATTTAGGAGTCTGAGAGTTACTTCAGAGAGCCTCTGTTCTTAGTAAAATGAGTCCTCCAAAGGAGTGAATGCAAAAGCAAAAATTCAAATATTCAGATTATGAATATTTATATCAGAGAGAGAATAATACAATACATACCTAGATATATTTTTACAAGCCAAAAGAAATAAGCATTCTACATTTTAAAATCTTAAGAATTCCTAACAAGTGGCCATGACATTAGGGAGACCTTGCCCAAATTCAGACTAAGTTGTAAGAAGCATTGGATCTTCGCTGAGCCTGCAAACAGGATCATCGCCCTCGCCAAAGGATGCCAGAGGAATGTCTAGCAGAACACTAGACGTGTCTACATGTTCGTTAGTGTGCTTTTCCTACTGTGCATTATATTTAGTACCTCTAATGTGTGGTATCAGATAAATACACGTTAGGTTGCCCTAATGCACAGAAGGGCAAGCACGTGCTTTTTTAGTGACACTTAATGTGCAGTAGCCTATTTTTACTGAGCATTAGCGTATTACCACGGTTTTTGACGTGATGCTGTAATGCACAGTAAAATAGGCACATTAAAGTGCATGTGTAAACATGCCCAGTGAACCCCCTTTTTACCCCTCCCTCCAACAAAGACGTACCACATCACCTGCTCAGAACAAGATGAATATGGTCAGAAAAGCAAGGTTCTTGTGTCATCATGCTCAGACTGGAACACGCTGACCTACACTATGACCTTGCCTAGAGTGTTCTCTTGCTTCTGACTCCAATCCTTCTATACTACTTTCCTTAGCCTCAGTTATGCTAATCTGTCCTAAATTAACAGCCTGTGGCAGGGTGGGCAAAGCCTGGCCCATGATGGACTCCATTTCCCAGCAGCCCCTGCTCATGTCATAGCAGCCAGTTTCCATGGAGACCCCAGGGGGGTGGGTAGCATCATATCTCCTTGCCTTTGACACCCCAGCCTGAATGATCAGGTACCCAGTTACATCTGGGTTGATGGGGGCAGTCTGCAGCAGGAGTCTAGAGCAGGGCTGATCTCATGTCTTTTGAGTCAAAAAAAAGATGCCTTAAGTTCTTTGCCCTCACTCTGACAGTTCTTTATATACTGGAAATGGACTCTTGTTGAGACAGGAAATTACCTGTTAGAACTATTTTGGTTTTTAAGACCAATTTTATTAAATTTAGGAGAAAGGATAAGGGATATACCCTCTCTCAAAACACAGAAAACACAAGAAAAATGAACTTAAAAGTAAAACCTGGGGCCTTTAATACATTACACAGTTAAAAAAAAAAAAAAAAAAAAAGGCTTAAATTCAAATTTTTCTTTTGCAGGTCACCCTTAAATACCTGACAACTGACTGCTTTTGCGACAAGTAATGAATGGAATACTTCTATAACATTCTATAATATTAGTGGTGACAAGCTCATAGCTTTTACCTGTGTGCATAACATTAGTTATGCACACAGGTAAAAGCTATGAGCTTGTCACCACTGGATAGTATTCTTTCTCCAAGACATGCAATATTCAGAGCATACAAGTCCTGGATACTTCTGATAACGGAGTTTTTTGGTAACAGAACATTATTTTGGTTAAGAATTAAAGCTAGTTTACAACAAAACCTGATACGGTAGTACCAACAACTCTAGATTTCCATATTAACCTCTCTCAACCAAATTAAAATGGAACTATGTTCGTGATGCTGCAAGCTGAGCACAGGACGTGAACATCAAACTACTTCTCTGTCAGCCGTGACTAGTGGAAGGGATTCTGACAATACTAATGAACTCCAAAGCAGAACAGAATACGGATAGCCCTCACTGTAACACTGAGTTGAAAACTCATCAGGGGAGTAAGTTATCTTTTACTATATACCTGTACAACGCCTAGTAGAAACAAAAGGTCTGTACAAAAGGTTTTGACTGACCAAAACTTCTGGGAGCACTAGATTACAATATTTAATACTGGATCTGTAAGGCTAGTAAATGGAAACCTGTTTTCTGTTAGTAAAGTGAAAAGACAGCATTTTTAAGACACATGGTGAATTATTTTAGTAATTAAGAACATATATATCAATAAGACATTGTCAGTATGACTGCTTCAAATGTTTATGGCATTACAATTTGACACATTAAATTATAAAGGATTAAGCATTCTTTCTGTATTAAAGCTTTCCTTCGGCTCCTTTTGTCTTTTGCAATTTTACTATAGAGACAATGGCGTGTATTCTATTGATATGCTGGTAATTTTCAGAAAATTATTCCAAGTGTGTTTCTTTCTCTATATTGTTAACCCTTAATGAGTTCTCTATTATTTTAAAAGCTGCTACCACATTCTCAATCATTTCTACCCAAATGGGGCTTATAATCTATAACTACAATACCCAAGTAATACATGTAAATCCAACTCATAAGACAAATGGTGACTTAAAAAAACAAGAGTGAAGCCAGTCCTGAAATTGTGGGATGGGGAAAAGACAGCTGTGATGAAATTAGCTTCCAGCAAAAGCAACAGAGAAGAAAAATGAATTACAGCCTAAAATAGTATTGTCAAGAGCAAGCTGAGATTCATTTTGTAAAATTGAACGTATATTTTAAGGAAGAACAGCTCAGAAGAACAGACTATTTCAAACGTACCTTAAAAAAATCCTTTCCCAGAACAATTAAACTGTCTCCCAATTCCAATACGCCACACATGTCAGAGCAGCTTAATAGAATAGCAGAACATCTGAAAATGCATTTGAAGTCTGGAATTCATTTTGCAGCATGTCCTGCTGTGTTTTACTAGTTAAGACCATTTTAAAGCATTTTTCTATTCTCCTAAACCAACAAGAAACTCATATGAATTACATACTGCAGGCTGCCTTTCATTTGATCAAGTGGAATCCCTACGGCAGGTCAAGGACCCAGCTGAACGGCATTCTGACCAATGTTAACAACTTTTTATGTTTCCATTGTCTATTTTAATGTGAATTATAAGGAATTGAGGGTTGGGAAAATCTTGAAATGTCTGAGATAATAGAAGTAGGTCCTTTGTATTAAACCTGAAATACAGGCCCTAAAACCTAGCAAGTTCTTTCTGTGAATACCTCTGTTTGCTTATTCCTGTTTAAGTTAGTAGCCTCTTACTGCTGATGCAAGCACCTATTGTCACACTGCACCCTTGCATCTGAAGAAAAAGGTGCACGTTTGCTGAAATACAAAGAACTGAAAAAACTTTCCCTGTTTTTCTACTCAGGATCCAAAGAAATGCCTGTCAGGAAGATAAATACGATGCTATAATGCCTTAAATTAAATTTCTTCAGTGTTCTCCCATAGTAATGTCATTGTTTCTACAAGGCAGACAAGGTTCCTTGGGTGAATTTGATATCTTTTATTAGACCAACCCAAATGGTTGGAGAATAGTTATTAAGCAAGCTTTCGGGTTCAAAAACCCTTCGTCAGGCTCAGGAAGCTGCAGCAGTTGCTGTGTGCTCTTCCTGGATGGAATGAAAAGTAAAGAAGCCAGGGGCTGGGCTGGGGAGTCAGTTGCCAGGCAGATTATAATGTATCAAAAATCCAATGTCTATGTTTAGTCCCTGATCTCTAGTATCCAGCAGGTTAATGAAATGGAGCTCATAGGCTCGTCTCTGGGATGTGTTGTGTAAATTTCCCTTGAGGATCAGGACTGAGAGACTGGAGAGAGAGTGGCCCTCCTGTGAGAAATGTGCCCCTACCGGTAATTGGGTGTTTCTGTCTTTGATGGATTTCCGGTGTGCGTTCATTCTGGTGCGCAGTTGTTGTCTGGTCTCTCCTACATATCTTCCATCAGGGCACTTGGTGCATTGGATGAGGTATACTACATTCCTGGAGGTGCAGCTGTAAGATCCTGGGATGCTGATGGCTCTGTTGTGGGGTGTAGTAATTGTGGAGGTGGTGGAGATGTGGGGGCAGGTTTTGCATTTCTTGTCATGGCACGGTCTGGATCCTTTTGGTGTGTTCTGGGGTTGAGGAAGTTTGCTTCTGGTGATGAGGTTGGCGAGGTTCGGTGCTTGTCTGAAGGCTAGGATGGGTGGCTCTGGGAAGATCTTTTTAAGAATAGGGTCTTTTTCTAATATGGGTTGCAATTTTTTGAGGATTTTCCGTACAGGTTCAAGGGATGGGTGATAGGTCATAACCAGCGGTGTGCGATTTGTGGGTGTTTTTCTTCTGTACTGCAGCAGTTCTTCACGTGGTATCCAGGTGGCTCTTTCAAACGTGCGATCTACCTCTCTGGAGGAGTGTCCTTGCTGGGTGAAAGCCTTTTTAAGATTGGTGAGGTGGCAATCCCGGGTGTGCCCTTCAGTACAGATGCGGTGGTATCTGAGGGCTTGGCTGTATATCACTGCTTTTTTGGTGTGTAAAGAGATTGCAGGTTCTCACTCCAAATGATGAAGATGTCATCGATATATCGTAAGTACAGCAAGGGTTTGATGGTGCAGTTCTTGAGGAAGTCTTCTTCCAGGTGGCTCATAAAAAGGTTGGCATACTGTGGGGCCATTTTAGTGCCCATAGCTGTTCCCATCATCTGGAGGAAGTGTTGATTATTAAAAGTGAAATTGTTGTGTGTGAGGATGAAGTGTATAAGCTCAGTGATATCTTTGGGTCTGTATTCTGGGTTGTAATCTTGTTTCTGTAGATATGTAAGGCAGGCATGGATGCC